CAAAAAGTCTACCTTGTGTACCTGCTCCTCACACGTACAGCCATGTATTTGTCTCTTGACTTGTTTGTATGGGCGACATAGCCGGTTCCGTCCCGGTCATTTGTCTCCGCTACAAAGCAGTCCTTAAAATAAGGACGCATACCACACATGTAAGTGAGAAAATTCCTGCGTAATTACATCTGTGGTGTTTTTAGGTCCACTATTGGTTACAGATGAGAGAGCAAATACCATAGCAGAAATTGTCCAAAATACCTCAACAGAATAACAGCAGCAGAGTTGAGGTGTACAGTTCAGGGTTTTTGGGTTTTTTTGTATTTTTTACATTTCTGAGAAGTCAGTGTCAAATCCATTGCCAACCAGCCCTGCCATTTGTTAACAGACAGGTCTACAGCAGAGCAGTGCTCTCTGGAATGCAAAACATTTGGTTCATATGCTGAAAAAAGAAAAAGCTTGCTGATTTTCCGCCCTTTCCTCTACTCATAGCTCTTTGAAAGGGGGTCTCTCAGCCACCTGTGCATATTCAGCATAGCAGAGGAGACTAAGAGTAATGTACTGGAGGAATGTCGTCTCACAGAGCAGCCTCTCAATAAAGAGGGAGTGTGAAGAATGTACGTTTGCACACACAGGATATTACTGTACATGTGTTTAACATAACCTGCTGTCAGAGGCAACTATGGCCAGCCGCAACAGCTTGTCAAATGGTACTATGGAACAATTTTCCAGTTTTAAGACGATTTGGACAAATCAGATACACTTGCTTGAAGACCTCAGACTGGGCTGCACTAGCTCCAGCAACCAGACTGTAGCTCACATTAGCCATAATGCACCACTTCCCACAGGTAAATATAATCTATAATAAAACAAGTAGGTTTTATTTCACTTTAAAACCTTTACATAAGTTATACCATAATTTTCTCCACAGCTATTTTCATAATTCTTCTTGTGATTATCTCTGGTATTATATTTGGCATTTTAACACAGCAGCTCTTTTAGTAGCTTAAAGGATGTAAGGAAGTAAAAGCAAAGGAATGTGCAGTACCAACATTCATAGACAAATAAATCACGTACTGTAATCAGATGGATATCTGCAAAACATGCCTGAGTTAGCCCAGAAGAACAATGTAAGTGTGTGTGTGTGTGTGTGTAAGTGTGTGTGTGTGTGTGTGTGTGTGTGCGTGCATGTCCCTCACTCTCAAACACAAAACAACCCTTTCCCTATTTTTGCTTGTCAGGGTCCAGTGCGTCTGTGCTTGTGGAGAGAGTGTGTGGAATACACACAGTGTGGAGGTGTGCTGGAGTAGGAGAGGAATGAGGCGGTTGCAGATCACATGACAAGTCTGGTACATTTAAAGTTATTCTTTTCCCTGAATGGTCTCATGACTGTCTGTCATGTAATTGCTTCTGTCTGAGAGCTTTTTGAGCCGAATAAGATCACAGATAAATTGGAGTCTCTATAGTGATTAATATGATAATTGTTTCTCTTTGATTCTGCTCTGTCCTGGACCCATACATAGCTTCAGCTATTATGTGATTATTGGATGTTGGTCGAATGGCGAACAAACTAGAGGCCAGCTTTCATCTAATTCCAAGGCCAGTTAATCATTTTCTTTCTTTTTTTTTGTTGGAGTGGTCTATCGTGGTCCCTGTTTCTGGAGGCTTGGCCCCTGAAGCAGCCCAAAGCTGTAATTAGGCCTAAGCAAAGTGAAGGACACAGAGAAAGAGAGAGGAACTCTCAGCACTCACCCTGACGGATTACAGAGTAGTCAGAAGTGGGCTGTGAGTGGCGCCACTCAATTTGACCCCAAGTCCCCCCCAAGACAGTTACACTTCCTATGTCTCTGTCTCACCTAGACTTATGAGGATAGTTGAACATGTATTCATACATCTTAGGCACATTTTCCCACATGTGTAAAATACCTCTCTCTTGTTTCTCACTACTGTTATATGACAAGAAACAGATATTCAAATGTGACTTGGACATGTGTCATTAAAATTAAAATTGCAAACTAGTAGAAATCATGCATTAATCTACAAACAAATGTGCTTTTGGTTTTGAGGTAGTTTGGGTAGATGAGTCTATGTTGGAAACCACAATCATCCAATTAGCACAAATTCTAAAACCCTGTTGTAAATGCAAATTGACACCACGAAGGAAGCTCTTTATCCCACAGTTTTTTGTTTCTTGTTCGGAGACCATGACCTAACTGAAACCCCTCCACAGTCTCAATCAATGACCTTGGAACATGCCCAGTTTCACCACGCATGTATGAGCGCTGTGATGCCACAGACTCAACCTACTACCAATATTACGTTAGTAACATTACAAGTTATGATGAAGTGATCTACTTGTTTGTCATCTCAATGTGACCTGGACTTATCTCAATTTAACAAGCGTTATGAAAGCCTACAGTTTTCTCACGGTGCCTTTCCAGGTTTTGGCCTCTGCTGAAAGCCAAGCATGGGCCTCAAATTGTGCAGCCATCCCAGAATCCAGTTTCTATTTCTGTCCACAAACCTTTGTTCTGGTTCAGAGGAAAGAGATGGGCCCTGCCCCGCCAATTAAGTGGCTGTAAAAAAGCTGCAGAACTGGGGTGATCGAGGAATGAGAACTAGTTCTGTCAGCCGGGTAAACAAGACCAAATTATCTGCAAAATGAAATTTGGAGAGGCTGGTGTAAATCTGTAAGGGGTTATTGCAAAGCTGGTATTTGCTGGGAAAAGGATAATCTATGTGACTTAATTTTCATCATTGTTTCTTATAGTTGTTTTTTTCCCCATAAGGTCAACTAGTTCTTATAGCTTCAGAAAGTTGACAAAGAAACCCACATGTAGTGTCTGGTTTTAGCCATTCTTATATAATAAAACATAGCCTGGGAATAGTAAATGTAAAGATGTATTAATTAATCTTAATGGGAAATTATTGCTGCATTAGACCTACATATCTTACATGCTAACACACACTTATATTTCCCATGTGAAATGGTGTTTCTCCTGACAGTTTCCTTTGTAATCTGATAATGTTGGTTGCTTCTCTGGACTTTCCCCTGCTCCTTTTATTTCAAGACCACTCCACACTAAATAACAGAGGAAGATGGGCTCTATGCAGTCGCCACAACTGGGCCTTCACTTCCTTCCTGCCCTCCCCGGGAATTCTTCACTTTCACCACCTGCAGACACACAGTAATGTGGGTGGAGGGGTCCTTCACTGCACACCTTTCCTCCTTCTTATCTCTGCAAATTTATTCCCTCTCTGCACCTTAAGAGCAACCTGCCCAGGCTTGCCTGGAGGGAAGAAACTCTTTTAGTGCACTTTGTAAATGAGGGTGGACATGTGCATTGGATATGTGCACACGCAACAGGTAAGAAAGGTGCATTCACACTCTACAGACATTTGTGTGTCAGACGCATCAAAAGATGTGGTGTTACACTTCAGTGTGTAATAATTGCTAGCCTGTTTTGCTCTAAAACAACAAAGGTGATATTGACTTGGGACTTTCACAGTCACAAAGGTTTTGTGTCGCTAGTGTCCTCTGCTGGCCACAGATTGACATGAATCATACACAGTGTGTCCACTTTAAAAGACTAAACTGGACAATGGAACCAAGTAGACTCGGGGAAGACAACCTGCTGAAATTCAAAATGAGCATCCGAAAATGGCAAAAAGGTGATTTAAGTGACTTTGAACGTGGCACAATTGTTGGTGCCACACAGGCTGGTTGCTTCAGAAACAACCAATATACTAGAAATTTCTTGAACAATCATCGCTGGTGGACCATCATAGAAAACAGTCCAAATAGCACAACATATCTAGTTAGCAGCAGTTCTCTAATAATAATGGATTGGATTTATATAGCGCTTTTCAAGGCACCCAAAGTGCTTTACAATTCCATTATTCATTCACTCTCACATTCACACACTGGTGGAGGCAAGCTACAATTGTAGCCACAGCTGTGTTCCCCGTGTGTTTCCTCTTCCCTCGTCACACTCTTGTGTATTTTGTGAGTTGTCATTCATTTCTGGTCAGGTCATCTGTTCACTATTCTGCTGTTTTTTCATGTGTCATGTTCAGGTATTCATGTTCCAGTATTTAGTTTTCCCAGTGTATTCCAGTTAGTTTTGCTTTAGTGTCCTCCTGCCTTTTCTTTTGTATCACTCAGCCTAAATAAACGGCTCACTCTTGGTTTAAGTTAAGCTTTGGTTTCCACACGTCTGCTTTTGGGTTCACTCATCAACCATCGCCACACAGTCTGCAACCCCAGAATATGACAACATGTGTATTGTTGTTGACCGTGTCCATGTCTCTTTATAACTACACTGTACCCATCATCTGATGGCTGCTTTCAGCAGGATAACACAGTATGACACTAAGCTCATCTTATCTCAAACTGATGTACTGGCCTACAGTCACCAGACCTCAATCAAACAGAGCAAGTTTGGAATGTGCTAAAACAGGAGATTTAAATCACGGATGTGCATTTAACAATGTACATTATCAAATGCATAATGTAGCGTCACATAGTACATGTGTGACACTATGTCAGCATGGACATGTTAATAAGAATTAAAGCAGCTCTGAAATTTAAGGGGATCCAACACAGTGTACCTAATACACTGATCTCTGATTGTATATCTTTTATTTCCACTGATAAAATAAATTTACTGGGTCCACAGCCTTTTTTTACTTATCATTTATTTTCTGAGAAAGTAGCCAGATACCAAATACAGTGAAATGTTTATATAGAAGCCTAAAGCTAAAATGCCTTAGCTATCAGTTCAGCTGTTGCCAAGACCTGAAAAGCTGGAATTGTGCTTAGAGTCTTTGGTTTAGCAGAATTCATCTGCAGCCTCCCTGCAGTTATGACAAACTCATAATATTCAAATGTATTCAATATATTTCAAATGTCACAATACCGATACCATTAAATTTACAAAGTTACTCCTAATAATCCTAAGCTATTAATTTATGTATTTGTTTACTGGATTGAAGCCAACCAACAGCGGTGTATTCAAATTTCATTTATTTGCTCCTTTGCTGGTAGATATTACCATCCTGGTGTCTCTATACTTACATAAAGCTGCACAGCATAGCTTAGCACAGAGATACAAGGACACAAGACAGAGCTAACCTTTTTCTAATAAAAGGGAAACAATTACCCAATCTACCACCGCTACAGTTCATGCAAAAACCAACAAACAGCCTGATATTTACAGCTCTGGGTACAAGGCTAACACTCCCACTAGTTGCTGAATCTAGTGGATCAAGATTAAATAAATGTTTCATTATGTTTAGTATTTACAAACTGAACAAAAACATGGAAATGCCCATATACAAATAAACCGTTCACATGTAGCATGTTTTACACTGAGGCACAGTATTGAATGAGATAAGGATGAGGTACACATAATAGGTCATGGAAAGTGATAATAAGCGTGCGCTTGATGCAAGAATAACACCAGCTGTTAGTGTGGTTGTCGATCCCTCTCTGGATAAAATGGTCACCCAACACAAATCCATTTCTATGGTCATCGTCGTTTATACAATGTGAACAATCAGCTGGAGGACAAACAGATTTTTCCAAGAGCAAATGTGTATCATTGACAGATGACTAGCTGAGTGTGCTAAACACTAAACCTATTTGTGCAAATTCCAACACTGACCTCTTTCTTTCTTCTTTGTTTTCTTTTTAATAACAGCATTTGTTCTTGTAACATAGCAGCCTGTGTGTGGATGTGTGTTTTTACACATTTAGTATAAATGTTTAAAAAAAAGGGGGGGTGGGGGTCTGTGTATACTGCTTTATTTTTGACACTGAAAGATTGCAGTGTTGATCTCAATCTTCAATTTGTTACATATTTGATATGTACAAGGATAATCCCAATGCTATTCAGGGTGTGTGGACAGACACTCTGGCTCACTTATAGAGCACCTGTGCTGGCGTGAAATCACTGATAATTTGATCTCCAAGCAGCCCTAGAATTGGCACAATCGACTCTTTACTCAGAGAACCGAGGTTACAAGGTAACCCTACGTTCTTAGTCTTTTGTACCATCTACAAAAGTACTGATGTGTTTTTAATCAGTTACTGTCAAAGCAGAATATATATAATAAAAGAATATTATGGTTTCATTAAAATATCTTTCTACAATTTCTCTCATTCAAACGCTCTTACACGCACCCGCACGCACGCTCACACTTTCATTAAAATGTTAACAGCTTTAAAAGTGGTCATACTCCAATACATCTTATGACAAAATTGATTTAACACCTTCAAAAAAGCCACTTACATGCAGCACATTTCACAAAACGACACGTTAAAAAAAAAAAAGCAAAAACAACATTTACATTGCATAGATAAAATAATCATGCATGTGATGAAGTTAGGCACAAAGTCCAAATCATACACATTTGCAACACTGCTTTTGTTTTTAAATCCACAGAGAAATCCTGCCTGCTTGGTTAGATGAGGTGTTTCTACATCAGATACAACTAAAGAAATCTTAATGAATGCTTGCATGAAGTTTTTTTTTTTCCTTTCTTTTTTGGTTAAATATGAGAGAAACATACAACAATGTAGGGTTTTCTTGGTTGGTCCATAAAATGCTATGAATGAGTAAGAAAAGCAGCTTTAGTATGAGGAACTTAAAATATGTTAATAATGATTGTATTACTGTGTAAGACATTACAGTTGTAAACAATGTGAAAATGATAATGATTTAGTTATTTGTTATGTAGCTAATTTACAGTTCATACACTGAAAGGAACAAAAATTTAAAAAGGTTGTTTATACTTTTCGATTAAAGGTGTCACTGAATGTCCTCGTACAGTGATCACTTTACATTTGCCCGTTTTTCAGTTCAAATTCAGATCATCACGATCTCGGGTCATTATATTTAGTCCGTTCTTCAGCCTCTCAGTCTTTCATTCGTTGTTCTAGACGTTGCAATCGTCTGTCCAAGTGATCTGCTTTGTCCTCTACTTACTCTTATGTGAACCAATCATCACCTTTGACACAAAGTTGACAATAGCGCTTGCTGGCTGCTCGGGGTCATGCTCAGCAAACAGGTGGCATACGTTGCCCGTCGAAGTGCCAGTTTTCCTCGCCACAAAGCCGAAGATTCTGTAGAGGAGGAGCAGTGTAGTTAGTAGCATTACTGTCATCTGCCTCAAACAGGCAGTGCACCTTTAAAAAGAACTGCTTTCATTGTCTCTGTGCAAAAATATAATTATCTACTTACCTTGCTGATGGGCAGCCATCTTTTTTCCACCTATTGGAAGTAAAAAAGGGATAATAGTGTCATTTTTGCTACACTGAATCGTGCTTTCCACCTAAATATTTACATTCAAAAGTGTCAATTAGATTTGCATGAAGTTATTTAATTTCATCTTTTGCCATATTTGGATTTTCCTAGATACTTTAGAGAATAAAAGGGATATAAATGTATGGAATGTAAAAGGGATTCAAGTGGTCAAAAAATGAAAACCATATTAAATAAATACCCATCACCCATTCACCACATGCAACTGACATACTTCTCTAACTAGTGAAACACAAATAGCAAGTGGGCATGTGTTTTGACATTAAATCAACAATACTTACTTTCTATCTTGAGGGTCCAGAGCACAGTATATCACTGTATTGACATTGTAATGCCTCCTGAAAAAGAGCCTAAAAGAAGCAAAATTATGGTAAGAAATTGCTAAGCTATGCATATATGAAGAATGCAAAAACTGTGTTTACTCACTTTCTCTGGTTGTCAGTGAGGGTGATTCCCTGAGAAGAAACTTTGAAGTGGACCACAGTGGAGGTTGGTGGAGCGTTAGAGTTCAGGACCATAGTGGTGGCCTTCTGCACTGCCTGGACACCCGTTAGTGACTCCATTTCCACAGAGCCCAGGAACCAAACATTACAGGCTGCAGCAGCAGACAAGTTCAAAATTACACTTGGATTTGCAAAACGCAAATAACGGCAAAGCGAGTGCATTCGGTGACACGCGGCATAATAACAGGACAAGGAAAATGGCTCATTTCTACAACAGAACAGCACACAGAGATTGCGTCAGCGTTCGTATGAAGTCATGCCACCTGTTTGTGACAGTGTCTTTTCATAGCAACTGATATAAGAAACCTGATTACCTGCTCCCTGTTTTAGCAGCTCAGCGGCAGAGTTTGTTACTGATTGCGAGGTGTTCTCAATGACATCTTCAAGAGGATCTGCGAACAAGAAAACAATGAGATTATCCAGCAAAAAAAGCCCTCAACAGTTACATCAGCAGATGAAAACACTAAGCTGGCAGACAGTTAAACATAGAGAGGCAGATGTTGGTAGCCACAACTTGAATACTACCTTTGTCAGGTATGATAAGTTTACAGGGCAGGGCCAGAGGAGTGATTGAATGTTGGTAGACCAATGCGGTTAAGCTTCCTGTAAAACAATACCATATTAAATTAGAATTCTAGTTATAAATCGGTTTTGGTTAATGACATGTTTATTTAAAAACAATATGCAAAATTTCATGAAAAATTGCAAAAGCTTAATTTGCAAACTGCCAGAAAAAAAAAGAAAAAGAAGGAGAAAAAACACAACAGAGAAAAACTTCTATCACCACGATAAAATAAAATTCTCATCAGTGGAACACTTAATTTGATTATATATATTCAATAGTTGCTATATTTGAAGAAAGCGGGGCACAAAAAATGCCACAGAAATCAGACATAAACCATGAAACACTGTATGGGTAAATTCCAGTCTATCACAGTCTATGATCTATCATTATTTGGCGTTCATGAAATTCTCCTGCCCTCTACTGGTGGTGGTACAATGCAATTTCTGTAGTGTAGCCAAAAATCCAGATGGTGTCACTGATGTTTGCTAACCATGTAGAAGTCTTACCAAAATATGGCTCATTGGGGCAACCCTTCAGCCGCACTCCTTTCTGTGTGCACTCAATCAGAAAGTGGCGCACTAATTCACTGGACAAATCTCCTCCTATTAGAAAAAGAAAGAAGAAATATGTAACTAGCTAGAATAGTATACTTTCTTTTCAGCAAACTTTCTTGTATTTGAAAATCTAGAATTGGGGGTGTAAAACTTGGTGTGCCCAAGAATCCTGTCTGGCCTATGGCAAGTTTGAAAACTGCAGGGAAGTCATTAATTATCACTTTTTCTTTCTTTCTGAATAAAAAAATACTCGTCTGCACTGCTATTCCTCGTTGTTTGCATTACAGAGAAGTAAATTACTAGTTCCAAAATAGTCAAAGATGATGGAAATCTGTTGTGATCTTTCATTAGTAACTCATAGCTAATGAAACATATTGTTAAAACTGTGCTTTTTAAAATTTAAACTTGTTCATCATCATTTTTGTAAAGGGACAGTTCAAGAAATGCAAACATTTTCCAGAAACGTCTTTACACAAAAAGAAAAAAAGAACATAGACATATGAGTTATAGTGAAAGGTTTTTCCGACCCACTTCACATAAAATTGGGCTCCATGTGGCATGCAAACCAACAAATTAACCTCTGCTCTACACTTACTCTGACTTGCATAACATCTCATAGCAGTTATCTCAGTACCACACATAATTTCCCAGCCTTTAAGTGTTGCGTCAAACACATTAAATTGCTACATTCATTCTCTAGAAAGATTAGGTGGATTATGATTCAACAGAAGCTCTTCTGAAGGGGCTGGATGAGCGTATGTGAGGAATGTCTTGATACAAAAGCTTGGAGAAAAGCCTGCTCCACAAAGTGGGTTGGGTTTCACACTTATAAGCAGTCACAATACCCAAAGCTCAAAGTGTGGAGATGGTTTGTGTCACAGGTGCTGTTGGATTGAAGAAGGGTGAAATCAAACAAAAGGGCAGGTGTGAATCGGGGAGAGGGGCACACGAAAGGACTGCAGACAGGGCATAAGGGCATCCTTTGTGCCCCTCAGAATAAGCAGACTTTTTCCTGACACACTGCGTGGGGTTTAGTGTTCTTTCCTTTCCTTTTCCAAATAAGAAAATTGGGTCTGTATTGTAACTCGGTCAGTACTTCCTTACATGTGGAAACAATCCAGAGAATGTTTGACCAGAGTCCTCTAGAGACTGCGTGTTTGTTACCAAAGAAACAAAGAAACAAACAAAGAAAAAAAAAACTTTAGCCTATTTTCTAAATATGCTAAACCAACAAACCAGGAAGTTGATGACCAAACAAAAATCTTGTTTTGACTTCAGTTGAGGGACTGACAGACTTCTCAGAAAGAGAGTTACAGTATGTGGGAAAGTGCACTTGCACAAGAAGACACTGGGATTATAGCAGGCTTACAGACCCAGCACATCCTTTGTTAATGAGTGAAACGTTAGCTGTACATCTAAGCGTATCAGGCAATAGGGGTCCCTTTGGCATCGTGATGATGATGCCCAGGAGAGAGAAACAGAAAGACAGGAGTTCACTCACAAGCAGAGGGAGAAAGGGACTCTTAGGTTCCACTGTGATGGTGCGCACAGTGGGCTGTAACTGAAGATGGCTTTGTCTGTGCTTATGCTATGCACCATTCCCAGGATTGTCCAGACCACAGGCCCAATCTGATATCTTAACTATCAATGAAATTCTGTAATACTGTGATGTATGTTTATTTCCCTGAGATATTTATGTATGTTATGTATGTGTTATGTACAATACAAATACAAACTGACCCAAATGATCCACTTAAAGTATATTGCACATTCCAAGAGAGCTTTAGGTTAACTTTGCACGATTATTCAAAGCAGAAGGACCGGTCAACTGGTCGCAGCAGATGGCCTGATGGCTCCCTGAGCCTGTTTCTGCCAGAGGTTTCTTCTTGTTTAAAGGGAGTTTTTCCTTTCCACTGTTGCCAAGTGTTTACCATAAAGCGACTGTTGTTGTTATTTGACGCTATATAAATAAAACTGAACTGAACAGAACTGAATTTAATAAAATTAAGTGTTGGATTGCTTTGCTTGTTGGGATTTCTGTATTAGAATCGCTTCCACCCACTTCCAATGTCTTACGCAAAGTTATTCACATAGATTTTAACTCAATATTTAACACACAGACATAAAAAGCCAGCAAATATGTCTGTCCCAAATGTTGAAGTGCTCATGCCGTCTTTTAATCACCCACATGTACCATACCTTTTTTGTTCTGCTGAAGAACTGAGGGAGGGGGTGTAGCCACCTTCATAGCCAGACCGTAGGCCCCCCTGAAGGAGTGGCTGTCCCGCACAATAAAGCAGCCTGGCTCCTTGTCTTTCAAGACTGAAATAGCTGAAGAGAGAGAAACAATGATTGAAGTGGCTCGAGAATTTTCTTAACAAAAAAAGTGTTTACATTTGGCACCTACCTTGATCCCTTGAGATGTCTGACTTGTACCAGAATTTTGATGTATCCTGCACAAATTTTACAGTGACCTGCTTGTTGGCTAGCACATCTGGAAAATACACAGACAAAGAAAACAACAAAAAAAAAAATCACTTAACAAGCCGTATGACACCCACGAGGCTTTCAGTTTCTTTAGCAGACCCTAGCTTACCTGGCAGAGGTGAGGCTGTGCCTGGCGTCTGAGTTGACAAGTCAGGCAATATGTTAGGGAAAGGAATACTCAGGGAGCTACCACTGTGGGGACTTGAGAATCCACTGAGGGCTGGAGAGGCTGTTCCCAGCGAATGCTCCCCATCTGACGTCCTCTTCTTTTCAGGCAGAAGTGGAGGCTGCATTTGTGCTAACTGATTCTGCCCATCCATTGAGGGTAAAAGATCCCTGTCCAGGTTTGGACAGTCTGCGCCATAGCCGAGACATGAATCATCCTGTTCCTCAAAGCTTTGAGCAGGACTACGGTTGAGAGCATAGTTAGCTATACGGCTGAGCTGGTTGCTTCGAGGAGAGCTGTGAGCATTCGGGGCAGGGTGGATGTGGGGGTGGTTAAGGGGAGGAGAGTGGTGGCCATAGTCCAGTGACACGGAGTGCGGCAGAGGTTGTCTTGCAGAGGGGTAGCTACTCAAGGAGGAGTGGTGGCTCAGGACAGGATGCTCTGGCCAGTGCTGGTTCTTGTTTGAACTGGGGAAAAAAAACAGATTAAGGGAGCATTTTATTACTGCTGGTGTTAACACAGTATCTAAAAAAAAAGGGTGCTTGGAGTTTTTGTGTAAGTCAGAGCTCTACCTGTCTGTCTGCTGAAGGCTCCCAACAATAGAGGCAGAGTATGAGGAACTTTGTGTCCTGTGGCAGTTAATGGAGGGGTCTGGCAAACTCTCCACTCCGAAATGGTTGATCTCTGAATATTCCCTGGGTTCTGTGTAAGACCAAATACAGAATGTTAGAAATCACATTTCTGCACAGAGTCTGAGTCAAGGTATGCATTTTATAATTTTAAAAGAACATAAACATAAGCAGGGATAAGTATGGAGAGAAAAGCTGCAAAAAAAAGAAAGAAAATTTCTGCAACACGTGAAATAAATCACAGGGAAAAAGGTTGGTGTTCATTCAAGTAACAAATACTTACAATTGTAGTTGAAATGTAACCAGAACTGTTCGTATGGCCTTATACCCACCCAGGTGTTCAGCAAATAAGACTTAACGGTAGCTACAAATTAAACGCCTACACCAACAATTACCTAAAGCTTTATTTCAGTCAGTCTGGGCACACTGACATCCCCAAAAACTCAAACTGTGTCTTTGCAGGCAGGTTTTCTCTGGGTTTATGGAAACAAGAGGTGCAAAGCTGAAAGAGTAACTGGTTTCTTCTTGTCCCCATTTCCGCTTGTATACACAGAGACACTTTCATGGGGAGGAGAAGTTGTTTTTCTTGTGCCATGCTTCCTGACCCACAGTAACCATGGAGATGTGGCAGGGCTGAATGCAGCGATTCTTGCCTGAATATCTGAGGTAGTAAGAGGCACAGCAGGGGCACAGATCTGCTCCCAGAACCTACAACCTTTAGACATACTGTAGATCTATATGGAAACAAACGGGTTTGATCTATTTTATCTCCGTATTGGATCAAACACCAGACTTTAGATTGATGTTTAAATCAGTTTCATACTTTTGAGAGAGCTCTATGACAAAGAGTAAATATAAAAAAAGGTAACATTTAAGAATTCTGGAAAGTCCACCAGGCCTGTAGCAACAAAGTGCTATAAATGCACTCTTTCTTAAACTCCATCCATCCGTCTCTAA